TTCATTTCACCGAAACAATAACGTGGCGCACAGTGTGACGCATGCACCAGTTTATTGTATTTCCAGACTTGCTTTCGGCACAATTTACAGTGCACGCTACTCTGTTTTTTGTCAGACTTGAAATAGCCGAAATACCTTCACACTACGGAACTTCTATGGCTCTTCCGTTCGACAATCTCTCCGGCATTGGAACCATCATCTGTTTTCTCTTCGGTCACGCTCGGTTGATTTTTCTAGTCGGCACACTCATTTCCTCCATTACGCGCTGGCTCCATTACCCGCTGGCTGCTTCCCAAACAAACACACGTGCGGCTTGGCACTTGTGCTGTACGTAACAAGTCACGCGACGTGACGCTGCGGCTGTGATTGGTTCGGCTCTGCGCTACTTAATTTGGATTGGCTGACCTTTTTTTTTTTTTTTTTTTTTTTTTTGAGGACAAGAGCGGCGAGGTCTATCGCGATAGCTTAATTTCTCTATCGAGTAAAAGTTATATCGCGATACATATCGTTATCGTTCTATCGCCCAGCTCTACTTACTGGGAATAGACCAGATTTTTATCTAGTTTTTTCACACTGATTTCAGATATGAAATCCAATTGAAGCTTGCACGTTAGGTTTAGAGGTACATATATATCACTGGCATTTTTGACACTATATATATACATATATATTTGACACAATATCAATATGGTATATCACCACAATATTGACATTTAAACTACTTCTCACCTAAATTGTTTTACATTTATTCTGAAAACAAAACAGTAAACAATACCAAAGATGTGTTAAAGCATGTTTCTGTCAGTTTGAAAGTTAGTATGCTCACAAATGTTTGCGGCACTTGCTTTGTGCATACTGCACATCCATCTCTCTTTGCAGGAACTAACAGAACTCAGCCATCGTGCTCTGATTGAATTTTTCCATTACTTTTATATCTTGATGAAATCTTTCTCCATGCTCATCACTGACATCACCCAGATTTGGTGGGAAAAAGTTGAGATGAGAATGTAAAATGCGCATCTTCAGTGACATTCTGGCACTCATTAGCAGATATGCTTTCAGCATGTTATCCACAGGCTCAGCATAAGTCCCTGCTCTGTGATTGCCAAGAAAGTTTGGACAACTTGCACCAGTGCTTCCCATGCTGCTGATTCAGTTAGCTTCAGTTCTCCTTTGAAGTCATTGTTGAGCATCGGTTCACAGATTTCAGGGCCAACAAAAACACCTGGCTTAACATTGGCTTCGCTTTTCTCAGGAACAAACTTGTATCTTAAAGCTGAAATGGATCCTAGTTTTCCAATTCTTGGAACATCATAACTAAAAAAACTGAAAAGATGTGCTAATATGGCTTCTACAAGTGATTTTATCAAACAGTGATTTTATCTGTGCCTAAGCACATTGTTTTGGTTTTTTTGCCTGTCCCGTTTGGCTCTTTTGCCATCAGAATTCTGGCTGGGTATCCAGTTATGGAAGCAAGGCGTTAACAAGAGAATTCTGAGTAAAACCAAAGTTACTTTCCCTAGTAACTAGTTACTTTGAAAGTAACGAGTAACTTGAAGTAACTGAGTTACTTTTGATAGAAGTAACTAGTAATGTAACTAAGTTACTAATTTAAAGTAACTTACCCAACACTGGTGCTCAGTGTCTGATCTCAGGCTGGTTCTGCTTGGGAAGACTGGAGAAGGAAAGAGTTCCAGTGGAAACAGCATCCTGGGAAGAGATGCCTTCAGAGAAATCTCCAGTCACTCATCAGGTAAGAGACACACACACAGAGTTTTTAATGGGGAGCAGCAGTAGGAATTCCTTACCTGTTACTTATTTTAGCGAGGACTCTGTAGGTGTGTAAAACGGGACACCATTTCTCTGCAGTTCATATTTGATCTAAATTAAGATGAGGTGATATATGTTTTCTCCTCTTCAGTGGCTGCTGAATGCTCCAAGCAGCAGGAAAGGGTGTTTAAGAAGATGGTCTCTGTGGTCGACACTTCCGGCCTCTTTGACACGTTCCTGCCTGAAGACGTTGTGAAGAGGGAGATCTCCAAATGCATCAACATGTCGGCCCCGGGGCCCCACGCCATCCTGCTGGTCATCAAGGTTGGACGCTTCACAGCAGAGGAAAGAGACGCTGTGAAGAAGGTGGAGGAGATCTTTGGAGAGGGTGCCTGGAGGTACACCATCATCCTCTTCACTCACGGAGATGTAGTTGAGTCAGACTTGGATGAGACCTTGGAGGAGGCAGGAGCTGAGCTGCAGGAGGTCCTGCAGAAGGCTGGAAACAGATACCACGTCTTCAACAACCTCAAAACCAACGACCGCCGCCAAGTCCTGAATCTGCTGGAGAAGGTGGATAAGATGGTGGCCGACAACGGAGGAGAGTTTTAGGCTGTATCCCAATTCAGGGTCTGCAGCCTTAAAGGCCACATTTCAAGGCCGATTACGTCACAGCGGTGCGCCGAAGGCTGTCCCAATTCAAAGGCTGCTCGAAATGCGGCCCTGAAATGCGTCCTTCATTTCCCTGAATTTCAAGGCTGTGGCGGTGTAGACTTCGTGGCCCAACATATCCCAGAATGCATAGCGCGGCAGTGGGTGTGGATAATTTTGCCGAAAAAAAACGGCGGATGAGGGGCGGCCGAAGAGTAAACTTTAAGTACTGAATATTATGTCACTTATTTATGTGCAAATGTTTAATAACGAAGAACATTAAAACATTACTGTTGGCCACATGTCGGCAAAGTCATGTGACATTAGTGACGTTTGTACTAACTTGGTTTTAAAGCCTTTACTTTAAAATATACGCCGTTCAATAGCTGAGCTTAATCTCAGAGAATGATCAAAGCTCATGTAGAAACAAACAAATGAACAAAAGATTTTCTCCTTCATTTCTGTCAAACACAGCTGTATGACACGTTTCCAGCTGTTAGTATCATGGTTGCTAGGCAACCTGGGCAGCGCAACGGAGGCTAGACCGTCCCATTTCACAAGCCTCGCACTTCCGGCCTTAGCGGTCTTTGAGTACGCGGCCCTTGAGGATCGTTGAGGCTGCGTACTTTAAGGCTGAAAACCCTGAATTGGGATACAGCCTTACTCCAACTACACCTACCTGGAAGTTGAAGAAATGCTAAAGAGGAGAGAGTCGGAGCTCAGAGAGTTCTTCAAGAAGAAGCTGGAGGAGGAAATAAAAGCTGTGGAGTCAGAGTACAAGAAGAAGCTGATGGAGGCTCAGGAGGAGAAACAGCAGGTGGAGGAACGGATGAGGTCTGAGCTGGAGGAGTTGAGGCGGTATTACCACATGTTAGAGAGCGGAGTCGGTCAGGTCGTGGAGCAGGTGGCCAAAGACGACTCCTTAGATGAAATCCTCACCAATTTCCACCACACCCTGAAACTGAACGGAGGTGTTTCTGACTCTTGTACAGAGCTGGCACCATCAGTTATGTAGCTTCACATGGATCAACATATGGAACTCTGCAGACTCTTTACAGCTACATGCATGTATTTATTAGTATGTTTTTGCAGCAATTTATGTGATTTTACCAGGATCATTTTCTGTAAGCTCGGTATACTTTATGTTTCTAAAGTTTCACACTGAAAGTTCTCACAGAGTGATGGACTTTCTTTCTGATCACAGTCAAAGAGCTAAAGTGCTCCACCTGAAGCAGTTCAGATTCTGAGCAAACTAAAGAACTAGAAGCTCCATCAACTTTTAGAAGTCATGGATTTTCTCTACTGCAGCTGAAGGCTGATGTTTTCCCAGTGAATTGGTGAGATCTTCAGCATTCATGAGCTGGAAATTTGTCCTGGAACGGCTGATGTGTTTGCAGCACCTGAATGAAACACAGGTTAACTGCAGTTCTGAATGTTGTTTCAAACTCTGATTCTGCCTTTAAATTAACTAAAAAAACATGTTTTTAGTCCAAAGATCAGCAGTTATGCTAATGTGCCTTAGTAGCTACCATCAACTACACAAGGCAAAATCAGTAATAACAAAGTTTATAGAGGTTTAAAGAACCAGCCAGACATTATGACAGGATGCTGTTTACCCTGTTCACAAATTTTAGGTGGTTAACATTTTTATCCTTATGTTGGACGCGGAGAAAAAACACTTCTCTTTCTCACCTGCTGAATCATCAAAGAAGTGAAGAGCGCCACCTGCTGTCCAGTCTGTGCCACGCAGTCAGGGTCGTTACATGAACCGAGTGAAATAATAACCACACAACCCTGTAACCACCTATCTGACAAAGCTGTTGTCTGTAAAAGTAACGTTAAATGAAATGTTAGAGCAAATGAAACCTGAAAGCAGCTGAGGAATGCTGTGACTGTTATACTGCCACCATGTGGTCAGTTCAGCCTGACCAGTTCAGATCTGGTCAGGCTGAACTACAACACTATTCTCTGTAATCTTCATCGAGCAGGCTGTTCAAAAACAAGAGTCATGAAGTGTTTAATGGTCCTCAGATTTGTGATTGCTGGTTATTAAACAGTTTCCTGAAAAAAAGGCAACAATGTTATTGATTATTGATTGAATAGCCTCTTCAAATGATGTCCTTGCACAGGTCAGGGGTGTTACTCTGTTACTATTTAACACTGAGCAGCTCCACGGCGGTGTGTGCAGTGTTGCATTAGGACAGCGGTTCCCAAACTTTTTTCGCTGGGCCCCCTTTGTTTTACAAGAAGAATCCTGCAGGGAGACCTACCTCGGCACTTGTGCAGGTGAAGCCAAAGGGCAGATTTGCTTCCCCATATTTTCTTGTCTTTGGCTTAGAATGAAGTTGGTTTGGAAACATATTCTGCGATGCTTCTACTCCTGCTTTGCGTTTGTGTGGCGCCCTGTGCTAGCAGTGTCCAAGCGTTTTTTTTTTGTCTTCGTCCCTTTTCATACCGCGCTCCCCCCCTGCAATGGCTCTGCGCCCCCCCTAGGGGGCGGGCCCCAGACTTTGGGAAGTTTAACGATGTTAATATTTTATTTTCTGCATGTTTTCTCCATGTCCAAAGTTTTTTTTTCTCTGTCGCTCTCCACTAGAATAATGCACATGAACATGGACCTAACACTGTGGATGAACCTGTATCATCTTTATGCAGACTTTAAACACACAGACATGCACACAGACTGAACACATATTTCTTGTAGAAGTCTTTTACTGGGAATCATGGGCGCTTCATGTCACAGCCAGAAAGCTAGACACAGGTGAATGGACTCAGATGTGAAAACCACTCAGAGACGCAGAGCGTATGAGCGAAGCAAACAGAGTCTGAGAGAAAACACAAAGTGAACAAGAATGCAATAATTACAAAACACAACGATTAAGCGGGAAATAATTCAATAACTTAAACCTTTCTGAGAATTGCTGTGAACGAGTATAGAACTACTAAAGTGAAAACACAGCCTGACTTCTGAGAATGAGCGTACCACTACTATACTGTGAGCTCAGCTTGACTTCTTCAATGAGAACACTAACATGAGAATACAAACACTTTACTGTGAGCGCTACCTCACTTCTATGAGACTGCTCGAGTGCCTCTATGACACATTGATGCTTACAGGCAACACAACACAGACTGAGAAACAGGGTGCTTTGTAACCACTGTGTCTAACTGGGAGGTGGGGTCCATGAGGGAGTCTTGGGGCTCTCGCAGACCTGAGTGAGGAACCTGACACCGGGTAACGTCCAGTGCAGGAACCGAGAGATGTGGCCAGCGAGGAATTAGGAGGCAGAAAATTCTCAAAGTCACTGCAATGAGGGAGACAGGGGTTAGCAGGTGTTCCAGCCATTACTGCAGTGAGAAAAGTGTGAATTTGAAAACAGTCTTACTTCTTTGCGGGAGCAGGCGAGGCATGGAGGGGTAAGAGATCTGGGAGAGCAACAGGGAGCGTCCAGAGAGTAAGTCTGTAAGGATCCGGGGTGGGCAGTGGGGCAGGCAGGTGTTAGCAGTGCTAACGTTCAGAAGCACTTACAGACTGGAGGCAGCTCCTTCTGCACCTCCTCACTCTTCTTTTTAAAGAGAGCTTCTTGTGCCCGTCACTGAAGTGCTGTTGCTGGTTACCAACCACCAGTTTGTTGGACCCGGACCAATCAACACTGACAGTTTACAGGTGCTGACGCTGGACCTGCCAGAGTAGCGCTCTGCTGTGGTTGGGTAGTTGGGTCAGAGGTGGGAGTGTTTCTGATGTGATGTTGCTTCAGATAAACTACCAACCCAGGTTCCTGAAACATTTCTCCCTTAATAAACATTTCATTTAGTTTTCTAGCGCCTCGCAGAGCCAGTGGGTCTTACTCCAGTCATCTCGAAGTGTCTCGAGAAACTGGTCAGAACTCACACATTCGATCCTCAGTTCACAGGAAGAACAGTTCAGGATGCCATAGCCCTCCATACAACCGTAGCTCACTCACAGGACAGTTACATCAGCCTTGTCTTTACTGATTTTAGCTCGGCTTTTAACACCATAATCCCTGCCAGACTGGTAATCAAACTACATGACCTCACCTTTGTGTGTATTCTCTCCCTGTTTCTCCTCTCTCCCAGCCGCGGGGTTTGTTTACGGAAGTTCGCGCTTCCGGGGAGGGCGTGGCTCGGAGGGCCTTCCACCCGGAGGCTCCTCCGCACAGCTGTGGCCTCACCTGCACTTGATCGCTCTGCCATCTGCTTCTAATCAGCCTCCATCTTAGAGCTGTGGTATTTTACGGTGTGTTCACACTGAACGTGATAGACGTGATCAAAACGCGCCAGACGCCCCTAACTTGACGCGTGCAAATTCGCACATCGACGCGTGTCCAACGCGAATTCATTGCAAATTCATCGCGTGTCAAAATATGCAATTTTGACGTGCGTGAACCGGAAATGTGGGAGGAACGTGGGAGGAAGTTGTGCCAGATGGTATCTTTGCTAGATGGCAGCTGTCGAGCTAGCGTTTGAAGAGAGAGTCTCCTTTCTCTATTTACTGTGGAGAGCAGAGCAGCGGCGTAAAGGACGTCCTCGCCGTACCCGCGTTTTGTCTTCATCTGGCTGCCACTTTCGTGCGCCTTTTTCCCAGGTGTCTATTTCCGAATGAAGCTCATAGTTATGGGTGTTTTTGTGCTGTTTTTTCTATTGGACGTGATGGTTATCAAAACCAAACGTGATAAATTTGGCAAGCGCAGGAGACACGACACGGAGGAGATTTGTCAATCAGGCTGCAGAATGCAATGCTGCACTGTGCAATAAAAACTCAGCGAAAAAGCGAAGCAGTGACGGATGAAAAGCGGGACCACTGTGTGCTGTTTATTAAGGCTGTTTTAAACGGCCACAAAGGAGCAGATTGGTTATAATGCAGCTGCTTCAGAGGAACAAACACTGTTTTTATTTCATGTGTAACACCTTTCAATGATGTGTTGACTAAAGTCTATTGACCAGTATAAGTAAAGACATCACACACACACATGGAAACACTGAAACCTGTTTGTGGTGCAGCAGCGGTCCCAGCTGCTCGCCTTTATCTAGACTGGGTCGGCTGCTGATCTCAATATAATCAATGTTTAAAGTTCTCAGTGTTTCTGTGTTGCTGCGTATAGGATCTCCCAGCATCATCACTGTGCTGTCCAATCATTGTGTGCTAGGTTACCCTTATAGTGCGATGTGTGTTTGCACAAAGAGAAGCATGTGTGTCAAATATAAATAAGCACAGAACAGAAACAGCTGCTCGTTTCTTCTGTTTAGAGTCAAGTTAGTGTTTTGTGTCTTTGTTTGAGGCCTGATGTCGAGCAGAGGTGTGTGTAACTGCACTGGTCTGTTATATGTGTGAAGTGTGTGCTTCTCTTCAGCATCATCTTTGTCACTGCTGATTCCTTTGTGTCATCATGTGTTGAGAAGAGAGAACAGTTATAACGGAGGAGCAAAAGGAAGCCCTGAAATCTGCATCAACAAGGAAGTGTTGGCTCACCAGTGATCCCAGCAGAGCCACTGGTTTGGCTCCAGTTGTTATAGATTCAATGATGTTGTTGCTACAGATACATGACGGCTGTTTGATCCTCGACATGTTTAAAGGTGTCCAGTCCTGAGACACTGGGGCTGGAAACAGCTGTGATGTCATTGGACTGTCACACAGACAGAAGTGCATGAAGTGAGCAGCCGAGGAGCCGCTGATGTTTGGATTCAACAGCATTTGAAAGGTCGACACAGACACGTTTGCACACAGAAAGCTGAATCTGTCATATGCCACAGTGAACTCACTGTTCAGTGTTTTTCAGGAAGCTTCTTAACTGCCTCTGCTGCCAAACAAGCAGCTGATGTCCTTGAGAAGAAGCTGAAGAAGTCTCCAACAACAAATACAGGAAGTGGACTTTCAAATACTAGATTCACTTTAGACTCACAGAGAAATGACTCAACCAGCTGTGTTTGACTATATGAAAGGTCAGTGTGTGTCTGCACACAGACTGTTGTGTTGGACTGTTATTCAGTTGTCTGCTGAATGTTTTCAAATGTCTGCATCTCAGCTGTGATGAGGCTGGGGGTCATGGGAGGCCACCGTAGCAGCCTCTTCAACATCATGACATCATCATAAATGCTGCTGGACTGTCTGATGGGCTGACGGTGAAAAAGCCGTCGGGAAGGAAACAGAAGACATTTCAGAGGCTGCAGCAGATTTCTTTGATTCGGGGCCTTTTTCAGCTTTATTGGACAGAGCAGTGAAGATAAGTGACAGCAAAGCAGAGAGAAAGGGGGCGTGGCCCGGGTCAAAGCCAGGCCAGCTGCTCTCCACCTCGTGGTCACCTGCTCATCCTAGTGAGCTCCACCAGCAGCCCTTTCACACACTTTACACTGTCAAACACTGTGTGTGGACCTCAGCTAACAACAGGCTGCATTTAAGTCTGGACTACATGCTTTTATATTGTTTTTATTCCATCAGCAGCTCAACATCATGAGCAGCTTTGACATAAAGACATCAAACTCAGTTGCCTGCAATGATATTTAAAGTCCAGCAGGTGTCAGTATGGAGCAAAACAGCAACACTGTGTCGACACAGTATCGGTACAGTTTGGGGAATGTGCTGAAACGCTTCACGAGGCCTCATCTACCCATCACTAAACAAAACTAACCTCAAACCTGAAATCCTTAGAAAGATATGCAGGGGAG